TTCTCAGTAAACAAAATGCTTGCTTGTATTTAATTCTGACATTTTCCATTTCAAACATTTCAGTTAAAACAATAGCGCCATAACGATCAGATATGATTGCATATTTCAATAGAAGTTTTTCTAGGTAATAACTAAGTTTTATTGATAAAAAATCACTGATAAGAGTAATCAGTTTTCTTAAAGTCTTTCTAATCATTCTCATTTAACATCATAATAAAATCACTTCATAAATGTGTAACATTTATGAAGTCAACAAACTATGCTGTTTCCTCTGGAAATTATTTATTACTGTTAAAAATTAATTACCAGTTGATATCAGCAAATAAATTGGTTAAATTTCGATATTAAAGCATTTATTGTGGAAATGATTTACACTGCCATAAATTATTTATCAATTATTATCCCTAAATAGACTGATTAAAGTCTAATATTGAAGCACTTGTTGACGAAGTGATTTAATATTATTATAAAAATTAAGTATCAGTAAATAGGTTGATTGAAGTTTGATAAGCTCGAAATGATTTGCAAATGCTGTGAACTAATTATCAATATTCGAAATACTTAAAATTGTACTTTACGTATCGATATCCCTCGCTTTTTCATCAGACCTCATTGTGGCTTTCATCTGTATTAGAGTTTCCTTTTTCTTTTTTTATTCCTACATTAGTTTCAAATTTTAAAACAACGTGGAAGTTAAATTTTGAATATAATAAAGGATATATGTGAGATAATAAAACATATCTATTCTATTTTCTTCCAGAAAAAGTAAGATATACGTGAGATATATCTATTCTAAAAGAGTACCAAATGAATACCAATAAAATATCCAAATATTACTTTTATTCTCCCAGAAGATTTGACACTCTTTCATTGCACTTATTTCTAGTTCAAATTTATTTATCATATTAGCATTTCGAGTTAGTTTATTTAACATTTAATTTCCTTCTCATATAAATCATAAATTGAGTTAGTATAATACTTGACTAAAAATAAAATAAACCAACTTTTACAGATGAAAAAAAAAGACAAACAAACAAACAAACAAAAATTAGATGGATTTAAAATATCAAATTTAACTCAAGTAAAAATATTTTGATTGAATTTTTTGAAACAATAAAAAAAGAAATTTTCTATTTAATTTTTTTTTTTTTGCATTTAATTTTTACGATATGTAAATAAAATAAATAAAAAATATTTAAAAAAAGAAAAATAAAGGAAAAATGAAGAGAGCAGAAATAATCAAAATGTTAAGAAAAAAATGAAAAGAAAGGAAAAAAATAAAACAAAACAAAATAAAAAATTGTTTAAAAAGAATAGAATAGTAAATAAGCACTAAATTAAAGAAAATATTGATTGATTGCTTTAAACAGAGCTAATACTAGCTAAAATAAATCAATATTGAAATGGAATACAATGAAGCAGTGAAATGTAAAATGCATAAGCTATATACTTTCCTTAAGTACCATGAAATTTTCTAATCATTAAATAGTTTCATTCATCGTTAATTTACATATAAGTGTATAATTATTAATATTTATTAGTATATTATTACCAATATTATTATTTATTTATTTATTTATTATTATTACTAAAAATAATTGCATTGATGAAGCGCAAATGATATAGGAAGAAGAGAAAATAAAACGAGAAACCTTGAATTTTTTAATTTTATTGGTTAACTATAAAAGTATTTGATTTTTCTAAAGAAGTTTTTTAATAAATAATTTAGTTCTTAGTAATCGTTTTTTTTAATTTTTAATAGTTACCTTTTAATAGCTAATCTTTTTAAAATATTTTTTCAAAAATTTTTTTATCGCTTTTCACATAACTTCTTTCTTTCTAGCTCATTCTCTCCCTCTGTCTCCCTTTCTTTCTCTTTCATTCTTTTTTATTACCATTATTTTTTTTTTTTATTAAAAAATTTCAGATACATCAAATATTTTCAGAATACATCAAACATCAGTGATGTAATAACAAGTACTGAATAATTTACCAGAAATGCATGAAATTATCCTACTATCTTTACAATTACAAAGTCTCTTTCTCTCTCACTCTCTCTTTTACATTTGAAAATATTTACGATATTTGATATTCATTTATAAAAATTTAAGATTTAATGGTTTCTTTTCGTTTATATACTAAATTATATGCTGCAATCATAATATTTCACTTATCAATTTCAGTCAATTTTAAATTTGAAATCATTTATTGTGAATAAGAATTTCAAAAACTTTTCATTTCAAATGCATTAAATTAATTTTTGGTTATTTAAATTTACTTTGATTATATTACAATTGATTATTTAAAATATATTATTTAAATTTATATTAATTTATTTAGATTATATATATATTTTATTTTTGATTATTATTTAAGCAATCATACGAATGATATTCGATTTTATTTGATAACGCTGATTAGATTAATTTTATTGTGATAAGCCTATTAGTTACTTCATTTTATTTCACTTTTCTTTACATTCTTTCCCTTTATTAAATTATGGCAATTAATTTTAATATTACTAGTCTAATAATTAAATTATTCCTAATTAGTTAAATTGATTAAATCAGTCACTATTAGATTTAATTGTACTAGATACTACTGAGGTTTAATTAATTTAAACTAAATATTATTGAACTTCATTCACTAACTGATTGCACTATCTCATTTTCATTGTATCATTTTATGATTTGAAATCTGCTATAAACGCTATCAGTGCTAATATTAAAATTCATTAAATACAGCAATGTTTGAATCAATGAACTCTCTCTCTCTCTCTTTAACTCTTTCTGTCTTCATTATATTATCACGTTGTAATCTATTATAAATTGAACATTATTTCTACCTTTTAATAATTTAAATTTTCAGTTTCTTTTTTCTTTCAATCTACTAATTTTTTTGTTAAATTATCATTTCAGCCATTGAAATTTTTGCACTGTGAAACGACGATTACATCTCAATTCATCCACACTTGATTATTGCAATATTTTTTTTCTTTGAACTGAGAGATATCTGAAAGAGTTCAGGCAGAAAGGGCGGTGTTGGCAAGTGGATAGAAGAATGGAATGCATCTGTCTTCCTAAGCTTTTGTCAATAAATGCGCTACACTTCAAATATCCAAAACCTTTAAATTGTGATAGTGTGGAAAGCTCGAGCTCTTCCTTTCATTCTTCTCTTTTCTTCTTATTCAATTAAAAACTATTTTTAACAGTAACTTTCATAAATTACACTAATATTTTTCTAATTTAATAATTTAAATTCTTTTGTTTTTTAAATTAGTATAAATTTTATTAATGAATAACTGATAATAACAATAGTGCGCAAAATTGATTAATCACAAACATCATTTTACTTGATTATTTAAACACATTTACAATTATATTCTATGTTACTTGTGTTCTTATTAATTTATTAATTTTTATTTAATTTCATTCTTTGTTATATGCTTTCATTTTAAATCATTCATTCATCCAATGTAAATTGTTTTAGAAAGGATCCTTAAGTAATAGTTGTGTACACTAAGTATTGTTATATTTAAAATTTTCAAAGTAAATTTAATTGTTTGGTAAGAAATGTGTGCCATAATATTGGAATTAAATATTAATAGATAATACTTGCATTAAATACTAATAGTTGTTAACATTGGAATTAAATACCAGTGGATAATAATATTGGGATGAAATATATATATATATACTCCAAAAATTAACGAAATCTTTTCCGTAATTGAAAGATGAAATAATTTTACTGGAATTAAATACTAATAGTTAACATTAAATATATATATTTGAAAAATTTACTTTTTCATTTGATCATTACGAAATAAACGATACTTCTGTGAATGTACTTTAAAGCGCATTTGTTCATATTAAGCTGTTACGAATTCATTTTCAAATTCGTTTATTCTTTTCTTTCAAATTTCAAAATTCTTTTACTTTAGTGACGCAGCTTTTTTTTTTTTTACTTTTTTTTACTATCTATAAATTACACTGTTATGCTTTCTTCTTTTTTTTTTTGCTATCAATGAACATTAGCATGTTGTTCACGTGATACGTACGTATTTCATACTGATTACGTAATATAAGAATAATTTGTGTCTATCATTTATTCATAAATTCTAAAATTAACATCAATCTTTGAAATATGTTGAAATAAGAAGTGAAAAAAAAAAAAAAAAAAAAATGTTTAATCAAATGATTTCATACATTTTAACAATGATTAATTTATTTGTTGAAAATTCATGTAATGCATTGCTTAAAATTTTTTTTTTCTTCTTATTCTTCTTTAACTAGCTTTTATTGCAATTGCAAAAGATTTCATAATTTATTTTGTTACACTTTAATTCGAACTTAAAATTTTGTATAAATAACATTTATGAATAACATTTAAAATTAATTGCATATAATAATGAATGTTACATTGGAATAACAACATTTGTACTTGTACCATATAATTGAATTCCTCACAAAGTAAGTTAATCGGTCATAGAACGAACTATTAAACAAAAGTATCACTTTATTTATTTGTAAAATAAAGGTAATTGATAATGGTATTACTCAGTAAAACATACTTCAAGAAGATGACTTAGAATTTTTTGATTTTTTTTGCAGGAAAATTTTAAAACACTACTGTTAACTTAGACTGTTGAGCCTTTTGTGACATATTAGCATAAATTATTAATTGCAAAAAAAAAAAAAAATCTAAAAGGAAGCTAAAAGAACATTTTTTCTCACTATAACAATCAACATTTCTTCTGCAAATCATAATTGTAAAATAACTGACAAAAAAATATCAAACAAAAAAAAGAAAACGAAATGTCTAATTTGGGATGTTTAACTTATAAACATTATTCATTAATCACTTAAAATTGATGTAATTTATAAAGAAGTATTATAAATAAATTATAATAAATTAAATTGAATAAATTATCGTGAAAAAGAAAACACGAAACCTCATTACAACTCTAACAAAATTATAATTGTTTCATGAATATTTCAGTGATGTCATCTGAGGCGTCCTGTTCAGGCTTTGAACCTCAAATATATCTACGTGAACGCTGCAAGAACTGTTTCAGTTTACGTTCAAAGCATGACGTGAAAAATGACACCGAAAGGACGGCCATTATCAGTAATAACACTGATAACAATTCTACCAATCAGAAACAACAACAAGAATCTCTTGTTACTTTAAATAGTAAGTTATTAAAAAAAAGAAAGAAAAAGAAAAAAATGGAAAAAACGCACATTCTTGAATTAATATCATTAATTTGATAAGACCTGAAATAATATCCGAAGATTTTTGAACTGAATAATATTATTAATAACAAAAATTAATCTTATCATTTATCTTTCGTTCCTAGTCCTTCAATTTTTTTTTTTTTTTTTTTTGCATATATATGTATATTATTGCTTAAAAGTTTTTTTCTTGTATTTTTTACAAATTAGAAAATTATTGATAGCATTGATTAATTCACTGACAACATTGTTGATTTAATCATTTATTTTGTATGCTCATTTTTTACATTCTTATCGTTTTCTTTTTTATGAAAAATAATTAAGAAATTTTTTATTTACATATAATTATATATTTATTAACAAAATTTCATCTTTTTTATTTCAATTACAAAACTGAAGTAAAGATGTTATCAAACTAAAATGAGATTAAATGTAAAGCAGAATAATCAGCTAAATCAGTATGAAATGACAATAAATGATAAATACAAAAACGGAAGCACATTAAGATATCTTTTAATTGTTAGCATTTCTTTAAATAATCAAAAAATAGTTAATAAACATTTCTTAAAATGCTGATTTATCATAAATTTTTTTATCAGTGGCATTAGATCATCCATCATGTAATCAGTAGTTATCTGCAAATTGATAGAAATACTTACTTAGTTATTTCAGCAGTAGCTGCTAATTTTAACTCTTGAATTTCATTGATAAAATGATAAAAAATTTGATAAAAGTCTTTCTTCAATCGTACAAATAAGACTATTATCATTAATTTGATTATTTCCATATGGTTTAAAAGAAGAAAAATTCAGTAGTAAAAAATTTTATTCATTTTTAAAATTTTTAGCTACAAAAGAACGAAGTCGAGAAAAGCGACGTTCCTGGCGTGATAAAACAACAACTGTGCCGGATAACGGTGCTCCGGAACATGTTACTGAAGGTTAGCAAAATGATAAAATTAAGAAATCATTAGAAACATAACTTTTTTTTTTCAAAAATTTTGAGTCAAATGTTACTCATCTTTTAGCATTTTTTTTTTCTCTCCCTTTTTTAATCATTTTCGAATGTATTTTTTTTTTAGAAGAATTTAGTGCTACATGAACAGATAACCAAATTAAAAAAAAAAATAATCAAATAAAAAAAAAAAAAAAAAAAAACCAAAATCAATTAAGCATAATTAACTGATAAGACAGTTAATTTATTTTCAGTTTGGTTTAGATTAGTTTAGTTACTTAGTTACTTACTCAGTCGGATAGTTAGTTAGTTTACTTACTTAGTTAGTTAATTTAGTTTAGTTAGCTTATACATTTATGCATGACAAATTGAGACACTTGATTTGTTAACTTTATTATTTGCGAATATGAAGTTTAAACATATCTCACTACTCATATTTCAATCCATTCTTCTAAATTCTTCAATCAGCAACTGATATAGAATCATTTTATTTCACTTATAGATAGATAACTTCAACATATCATACATCTCTCGTTCTCTTAATTCTAATTATTTATATTCAATAAAATATATTTAATTGTATTCAATTTACCAAACTGATAAAAACTTATGTCCAATATTCAATCTTAATTCTTTTTTTTTTTTTTTATTTTGTTCTTTTTTTCAATATATTCAATGCGTATTGTAATTTATTTATATTCAATTTATTCAATGAAATAATTTGTATTCATTTTTAGTCCTTTTTTCTTCTTCTACTTATTTATCAACAATTATACTAATTAATTACAATACCGGTTGAAGAAAAAATGCTCACTTTTCGTTAATTTGCATTTGCTTTTTTTTAGCATAGGTTTATTTTTTCAAAAAATCTTCTTTCGAATTTCAATTATTTTTATTAATTACAAAAATTTTTTCAGAAAATTTTTTTTTAAGGTACTGAAGACGATACAACATCATATACATCATATAAATCAGCTAATTCAAAGGATATTTCAACTGAAAAATCACCTGAAAGCATATCAGATACAAAAAGTATGATTACAGCAATTTCTGAAAGTATTCAAGATGATGATCGAGCAATTACACCTGTGGAAAATGATATGGTTTGTTAATTATTATTTTACTTAGAGCTTTTTTTGAATTTGAACAAATCAATTATTTTTAGAAATAAGTGCTTACAATTTTAGCATTACATATAATATGAATTGAAGTTTATAGCTTTTCTTTTTCTAATTTTTTTTTTGCTGTTTATTTTTGTTATCAATTATTTTCAAACAATACATGCAATATGAATTATATGTATATTACATCTGCGGCTTTATTTATTTATTTATTATTCAATTTTCCTGATGTTTATTTTTTGTTTTTAACTATATCCAAAAAAAAAATGCTAAAATCAGATATTATCAATGATTTAATTATGCAAATAAAGGTTTTTTAATATTAATGAAATTCATTAATGCAATACTTTCTTTTTTTAAAACAAGGACTCTAAATTTTTCAAGATTATTCAAAAAAAAAAGTCCAATATATAGGGGAAAAGTTAAGACAGTGTGAAAAAAATATGCAAATTTATTATTTGGAATTGTTTCTAAATTAAAAAAAAAACTTTTTTCTATAAAGTTATTTTTCAGAATTATTTCTAAATTATTATTTTTTTCCCTTCCGTTATAACAAGTTGTATTGGCTAAATTATTCTATTAGTTCAAGAAAAAATATTTGAGGTAAATGATATATAATAACACAATAGAAGAATGAATTTGAAATATTAAAATGACTTATTAAGCTTGCTAAAATAATTCAATAATTACAAAAAAAAAAAAATTATTTTTTATTTAGAATTTTGATACAACAATGATGAAAGCAGAAATAGCACATCTGAGAGAAGAAGTAATTAAATTAAAAGAAGAACGACAAAAATGGACAATACGAAAGTTTGAAATTTTTTCAAAACAAATAAATATTAGAATAAAAATTTTTTTTTTTTGCTACCACAATTTATATGCATAAATTTTGAAAAACAATCTTCTTCATTTAAAAACAATCATTAATCATAAAATTATATTAATTGTAAATTATGCAAGGCAATAAATTAGGTTTGCAAGTAAATGAAATAATTATAATTGTTTCTTAAAAATGTGGTAAGAATTCTTTTTTGAAGAGAAAAATGTCAAAACTCAAATGATGAATCACTGGTTGAAATGCTGGAAGAGAGATTAGCGGAAGCAGAAAATTGCATTCAAGATTATCGTGATGAAAATACCGTACTAAAATGTGAACTTCGAGAATTACAGGTAATATTTTAAATTTATTATTTGACATGATTAATGATCAATTTTATCGTGTTTTTTTATTGATTAAATTTTTTTTTTTTTTTGATTATAAAATATATTATTTTATAATCAATGAAGAAAAGTAAATTCACTTCATATTAAATGGATTCAGGCTAATATTTCTAGTATATGATAAAGATTATAAAATAAATGAATTGGGTTATTTATTTCTAAATTTTTGAGGATTAAAAATTTAATCAATTTGAATTTCTTACTAATGCTTTTTTAAATTTTTTTTATAAAAGTGTATTGATATTAAATTATTTTTTTGTTAAATAATTTCAATAAACAGGAATGTGAAAGCTCAAATGATAATCGTAATGAAATGAATGTAAAATTGGCGGAAAAATTGAAAGCTTCGGAATCATTATGTGATGAATTAATGGAAGAGAATGAATCATTAAAAGCTGATATTAAGGATTTGCAGCAAGAAATTGAAGAAATGCAAGTTAGTATATACTAAGTGTATTAATTTCATATTTTCTTTTTTTTTGTCAATATTTGATAAGTTTTATTATGATGAATAATAGTTGAATGATAAAATATGTAAATGATAGTAAATTCATTTCATATTAATTTGATATAAATAATTAGATGTGAAAAAGATTTTAGATTTTTTTTCTACTTACACATACATTTTGATAATTTTCAATTTTCTATTAATTTTTATTTTTAAATGACATTTAATAATTTTATTTATGTCATTTATGTTAGAATAATTATTTATTCATTTGTTTTTTTTTTTTTTTTTTTTTTTAAAGGATCAATATCGCGAGGAGGAAATTGAAGAATTTCGTGAACTTCAACGTGAATTGGAGCAAAACGCAAAGAATTGTCGAATATTACAATTTAAACTTCGAAAATCTGAACGCATGCGTGAAGAAGTTGACGCTAAAAAGCAACATCTTGAAGCTAAAGTGAAAGTATATAATTCTTTTTTTCATATTATTAACACTATTAAAGAATTCGAAATAATCTTACTAAATAAATTATTCAAAAAATGAAGTCTTCAAATTTAAATAAAAGTAATGATAATTGAATAAGGTATTATTAAATTTTTCAAAATCCAGCAAGTAAAAGATAGTTAAGATAATCTTACAGTCTCTTTTGTTTTCAAATTTATTTTATTGCATCAGTAATAAAAGTTAAAAATTTTAAATTAAAATATGCAAGTAAAGTTTCTCAATAACTTTAGTAAAGTAGTAAAAAGTTTGAAAAATTTTTGCTGTGTAAAATTAAATTTTTTTTTTGCTTTCGAGATGATAAAATTATTTTGAACTTGAGAATGCATATGAAATATTAAATAGTATTGTTACTGTATTTCAGCAATAAATTTCCGTTCAGTTTCTTCTTTTAATTTTTACAGGATCTCCTGGAAGCTTCATCTGCAACCGGTAATGGATTACAGACAACCGGAAAGCAATTAGATGCAATACGAATAAAAGAATTAGAATCAGAGTTAAGAATTGCTAAAGAAGTTTCTGTTAGATTGCATAATGAACTTGAAAATGCTGAAGAGAAGCGATATAAATTAGAGGTAAGATAATTGGAGTTGTAATAGTGATACTTGATTAATTGACACTTTCATTTTAATCAATGCATACATTAGTTCCATATTAAAATCATTGTTATTTATCTATTTTTTTTTTTTTTTATAGGACGAAGTTTTTTATATGAAAGATAAAATTCGTGAATTACAAACGCAAAATAAATGGAGAGAAGCACGAAATCGAGCAGAACAACAAACAGTATTCTTGTCTAATAATTCTTTTTTTTTTTAGGATTTCAACTTCAGTTAATACACATATTAATTCCATATTAAAATCATTGTTTTTTATTGATATTATTTATTCGAAATCATATAAAAAATCCTAATACATACAAAAATAATGGTATTTATTAAAAATTTCAGTAAATAATTGAGGAAAAAAAAATTTTTTTTTTTTTTGAATTCTCTTTGCATTTTACAGAAAAGAAGTACTACTGATGTGTCGAATAATTCAATTAATTCTAATAACAGTAAAGAAATACATGATATATTAGAACGTGAAGCAGATTTGAGAGATCAGTTAAAGTTTGCTGAAGAAGATTTGCGCCGAACACAACTTAGATTACAAGTTAGTAAAATTTCTTTAAAAAAACACTTAAAAAATGCTTTGTAGTTTATGTTTTAAAAAAATAAGTAAACAAAATGCTTTATGCTTTTAAAAAAAAATTTTTTTTTTAGGATGTTGAAAATGAGAATGAAGAATTATTAAGGAAGTTATCACGATTGAAGACAGTTAAAAGACCACCAATGATACGATCATTCAGGTAAAAAATTTCAATATTTTTACAAATGCAAAAAAAAAAAAGAACAAATCATTTAAATTTTATTCCGTAATCAATTTAACTTCACTTTTACAATATTTATACAATTTACTTACAATTTCATATTTTTATTTGAGTAACTACATGCGAGCAAAATAAAATAATTTAATAAAAAAAATCTGAATTTAAATAAATTAGAAAATATTAATGAACTAAATTGACATTATACAATTTTGCACAACTGATAATAATATGCATGTTTTTTTTTTCTTTAACAGTGTATAATAAATATTAGCAATTGCTCAAATTTTAATCACTTATCATTGATATATTTAATTTTATAATTTTTATATTTTTCTTTCAATACATCACATAATATAGTAATAAGATATGATATCACTCATCATAATTTTTTAAATAATACAATGCATCATATTTTGTTTTTCTTTCCTATTTTTTTTCAACTTATTTATTAACAATTGTACTAACTGATAGCAATATGGTTGAAAAGAATTGTTCACTTTTCAAAAACTTAAATGTTTATGATAATTAAATATTAATCTTTTTAATAACGGTAAATAATGTGTTATAAATGATAATAACTTTTTAATGCACTTTTAAAAGAGTTTAATATTGAATGAAACAAGCAATGATTGATTAAATGAATAAAACTAAAAAAATAAAATGACAATTAATTATTTATTGATAAAAAAACTAATGATTCATATAATAAAATATGAAATGATAATGCAATTAATGATTCATTAAGAGTATAAACTAATAATTAGTAAAAATTAAAGTAAAATTAAATTAAAATATAATTAACCATTCATTAATAAGGAAAAATCAATGAATAATAAAATGGATAATCATTTATTAATAATAATAAGAAAAAAGTTATCATTAAAAATCAATCATTTAAATTATAACCAAAATTTTTAAATTTTTTCTGCCATTTTTTTATCACTCAATAACATTCATATCAATTTGGGTTGGACAGAAAAAAAAACCATACAACATAAATTAAATTTATTTAAGTCAGTTAAATTTATGAACATATTCTAGTGATAAGTTAAATTTAATAATAGTAGGCTAAATTTATTTATACATACACCAATAATTTTTAATAATGATAAGTTTTCAATTTAATGATAACAAGTTAAATTTTTTTAAACACACGCCAATAATAGTTAAATTTACTCAAACACACACTGAAAGTTAAGTTTATACTTAAACGTAGCTAACAATAAGTTAAATTTATATTTAAAGATAGATATTAGTGAAAGGTCATCGAAGTTTCAGTGAAGGTCATGCACAAATGCAATTGGAATTGGCTGAACATGAAATGGAGCATTTGTCAACCAAAGTAGAACGTTTGGAAAAGAAAAATATTCATCTTTCAAAGAAGTAAAAAAAAGCAAAAAAAAAAAAACATTTTGCTTTTTTCCCTTTTTCATTTAGCTATTATTGCATGAGTGTTGTTTACAAAGTTAATTTATTATTTACAAACATTTCTATTATTTATTATAATTATTTTTCTTTTTGCCATTATTCTAACTTTCAAATTATTAACATTCATATCAATTACTATTTTGCACTTGCAAAAAATTTATAAAATACTAGAAAAACTGGGTTAACAATTTTATAATTTTTTTTTATCAATATTATTATCACTTTTAATTAACATATTAACTCATTTTTAAATATTCGCTTCTTTCTTTTCTTTAACCATTTAATTCGCAAATATAAATAATTATTTGTATTCATAGAATTATGGAAATGGAAATGGATTCAAAAAAATATTTGGAAAATGAAGAAATTGTTAATGGACGAGTAAGTTTTGAGGCTATCTTATTAATATCATATTGTTTTTTTTTTTTTTTTCTTGCTGTTTAATTAAATTACAAAGTGATAAAGGTACAGCTTTAGTTAACTATAAAAAATATGAAAAATAATCCTTTTATGGTACTAATTTAGTTGAAAAAAAAATTTTTTTTTAGGTTGTTAAATCTATTGATCATAATTTATCAAATATGAACTTACTCATTTCATATTTGATAAATTATGATAAGATAAAAAAAGGTTGAAGAATAAAATTATTGAAAAAACTTTTCAAATTTATGATTATATTTGTGCTAATATTTTTTTTTCAAATATATGATTTAAGTAAAAAAAGGAACAATTTTTTTTCAGAAAAAACAACAAAAATTTTTGTCTTTTTCTTTTCTTTCTTTTTTTTTAATTTTAAAGGCGAAACAATTTGAAGTACCACCAGAAATGCAGCGTGATATTGGCAAATTAATGGGAACAATTAGTGAATTAGAACGTAAAAATTTAGATTTATCATTAAAACTTAAACAACAAAGTGAACTTAATTCATCAATACCGTCCGAAAAATGTTCGTTTCTTCTTTTTTTTTTTCTAAAAAGACGAAGTATTGAAAAATTCAATTTGTTTCTTTATCAAATTTATAATGTTTAAAATATTTGAAGTTCAAAATTTTACTTTTTTTTATTTAAATAATTTATATTTAAAAAATTCTATTCTTAATAAATTATTGATGTATTTTCTCGCTAATGATATAATCTAGGCAATTTATGATGTTTAAATATTTTTCTCTTTTTGAGATTTTTACTTTTTTTTTTATTTAGAAGTTTTGGAAATTTTAGAAATGTTGCATTTAAAAAACAAAAGCTTATACTTAATGAATTATTTGCATATTTTCTGGTTAATCGAATAATGAAATAAACCAGGCAAAGGTAAGCATTTAATTTAAAAAAGAAAAGTTAATTTTAGCTCAAACTGAATTAAGAATAGAAAAAGAACATAAAAGAATTATTGAAAATGAACTGATGGAGTTAAAACGAATGATGCTTCAATCAGATAATCAAAAGTTAATCTCTATGGCTACAAAGGTTATCTTATCTTTTATCAAAATTCAGATTATAATTTTAATTTAATATGAATTTTTAATGACTGTCACAAACATCTTTTTTCTTCTAATTGTATGCGGAAACGAAATGCTGTCGAAAAAAAAAAAACAACTTATATTGATAATTGTTATAGCATTAAATAAGCTAATTGGTACTAGTTAATTAGTTTATTTAATCAGCTAAAAATTTTTTCTATAATATTTTGAAGTTAAAGGCAAGTTTTGATTAGAATTATTTTAAAAAATTACTTGCTAATGCGAAAACGACGGAAGAAAACGAAGCACTTGTGATTTTGTAAATTTGTTAAGGTGGAATTATTGAATAATCAACTTTTATTGGTGAATGATCGTTGTTCAAATCTTCATCGGCGAATTGTCAAAGAAGGTAGCAATGAAGCAGCATATACGGTAAGCCAAAGCAGTGGAAAAAAATTGCATTGTTTTTGATTTAATTTTCATTAATGTAATAAATTTTTATTAGCCAAAAACTTTTTGTAACTTTTTTTTAAAATTATAATTTACAATTAAATAAATTTATGCTATATTTTAAAGTATTTTTTATTTAATTCTCATCTTCTCAATTTTTTTTTCAATGCTAACATTTTATTTAGTTGTAATTTAAAAGGAGAATAAAAAATTGGCGTTTGAATGATTTTCCTTATTTCATATAATATTCTAAGCTTAATTTATTTTCTTTTTTTTTGTAATTTTTTTTTGTCATTTCTTATATTTCTTATGAAAATAATGAAGTTTCGCTATGTCTAATAATTTGTTTTTATTGAAAATTTCAATTTATTCTATTCAATAATAACAATTTATTTAGCTTTTTTTTTAAAAAAAAATTAGCATCTTAGAGAAAGATTTGTTATATCTAATAATTTTCACCTTGAAAATTTAGTTTATTCTATTAGATAGTAATGTCTTTAATGAATTATGATTTTAGATACAGAAATATTCCTTATAACTAATAATTTACATTTTATTATAAATTTAATTCACTCCATTAAATAATAATGATTCATTCAAATTTTAAACGAAAACTTAATTTATTAAATGCATAATTTTTTCTAACTATAATCATAAGTCATTCAAAAATTTGATCTAATCATTATTATTAAATATAATAAATCAAACTTTTTGGAAAAAAAATAATTTTAGTTAGAAAAGAAAACCATTTGGTATTTTTATTTTTTCATTAATGCAAATTAGCATGAAAATTTCATTTTCTTTTTTTTTTTTAAAGGACTCGTTAAAGAACAAATGTGAAGAACTTGAAAGACAGTTAAGTGAACAAAAAGCCAAAAATGCTATCAGTTGCTCACAAATTGACAGTGCTACTACGGATGAGGTTAAAATGGAATATAATTAATTACATTTAGTTTCTTTCTTTTTTCATTTTCCGTATTTTTTTTTTTTTGTGTGTGGAATTAGAAAGAATTTTTTTAATGTTAGTTGAATAATGGCTAATTTGCAATTTTTGGAAAAGTTGCTTTTGCAGATTGAACAATGTTGTGAAGTACTTGCATCGGTAGAAGCACAAACAAATCGAATTTGCAAACAAATTGAAAAAATTGATAGTGCACAAAAGGCAAATTTACTAAACTAAAAGAATTAAATAATTTATAATCTACTAATTAGAAGAATAATCATTCATTTGTCCTAAAACACTAATGTTTGTAAATTATGTTAATCCAATAATTTTAATTAATACTTATAAATAATTTGTAATAAATCAATCAGATGAATATTTTAAATAGATCATTTTATGGTTAAGAAAAGAAAGCTGAATTATTCATTCTTTCTTGATGAAACGCATCATTAATTATTAATTAATGATAATAAATGAGTAAAATTTTTAGCATTTCATATTAACACAAATTTCTTTTAAGGACGAACGACGGCGCTCATTATCTAAAGACAATAGCGCGACAATTATTGCTGAATTAGCAAGTGTGATGTCCGAACTAAATAACGTTCATCAGTTACTCGAAGCACATAAAGTTTTCGCTTTTTTTGTTGTTGTTGATTTAATTTTTAAAATGTAGTAAACTTCAGTTAATTAGCATAAAAATATTTTTCTTGTGGAAGTTAAAGTAATTCAATAAATAGTTCGTTTCATTTATCATTTTTAAAGGTTGTGAAAGTGGATTGATAATAATAGCGTTTTAAATGAATTCATTAATTAAATAGCTTATGAATGATAGTGTAAACGTAATATGCAAAATGCTAAGATGCTTGAAAACGCAAATATTCCTTTAGATAAAATAAAGTTCAGAAATCTACAAATTTTTGAACTTAAAAAAAATTTTTCAAAATTTCAAAAAAATAAAGTTTCAAAAATTTAAAGAAAAATGAAGTTCAAAAATATTTCATCTAAACATTCATTTAAACAAAATGCAACTAATTTTATTATAACTCTAAATTTTAAAGTGTTTTTAATTAGATGTAATTAATTTGCTTATTGATTAATCATTTATCACTCGTTCTCCAATGATTTGATTTAAAATTTGTAATATTTATTTCCTAATTTGTTCTCTTATAGCAAATTATATTTTGAATTATTTTTTTGCACAAAGCGAAGTATGAAAATGTAATTTACATTAACTCTTGTTGTAAAAATTAATTTGAGATATTTTCAGGTTAATATAGTAAGCGCAAGAGGTTCGCCAGTGAAAAACGTAGCAAACGTGAACTCCGAGCCAAAACCATGCAGTAAATGTAAAGAAAATGAAACGTTTATTGAATCACAAAAGGATGAAATTATCTTCTACAAGAAGAAAAATAAGGTTGCATTGATAAAATCGTATTATTTCCACTTTTCTATTAATATTCCTTACCTTTTTGGTAATTGTTATTGTTTAGATATTATTATTTATTGTTATATTTCTTTATTATTATTATCATCTAAATTACTATTTAAATTATTATTTTCTTCAATTTATTATTATTACTACCGAAATTATATTATTATTATTATTGTTATTTATTTTCACTATTGTTAATTACTATTACTGTTATTATTATGTTATTACTATTAATATTATATTATTATTGTTTCAGGAGCTTACTAATCAAATTCTGCAGACAGAAGATCGTTGGACTGCTGAAATTGAAAAGCAAAGGCAAAGCTATGAAAATGAAGTAAAAATCATGATGAATGACATAAACAATACAATTAAATTCACTGCAAATGAATTTAAAGTTTTGAAATTATAGTAATTCAATAAGTATTTCGTTTCATTTATCATTTTTAAAGGTTCGAATTCTACATACAAAATTGAATGATGCGCAAAAGAATGTAATTGAGCAAGAACATTTATTGGAATCACGAACTGTTGCATTAGCAGAGAAAACTCGTATGATAGAGGAGAGAGATGAAAAATGTGATAAATTAAAAAGAGAATTATTTGTTGTAAAGAGAGAAATTCAGGTAAGTAAATTTTTCAATTCAAATTATTTTTATCAGTTATTTATTTTAAATAAGTGAAAGTGTATATATATATATTTATTTATTTTATTTTAATAAATTTTTAATTTACCATTAATAATGTCCTTCTTTCTTTTTAATTTATTTTTGCAAATCCTTTTTTGTTTTTTTTTTTTTTTTTGTAAACATTTACTTTTTCTTCTACTTCTATTTATGTTTATTATTGCTTTTATATTTTAAAGGATATTGAAGCTAATCGTAGATCTGCTAAAGAATTTGAAATCAAATATAAGAAATTAGAATCGATGTTTAACTTGGAAAAGGAAAAATTAGCTGAAGAAAGGATGAAATCAAAATTAGAAGTGACATTATTAAAGAAGAAATCAGAAGAAACATTACTCGATCTTGGTTAGTTATTATTATATATTTTAAGGAAAAAAATGGAAAAGTGATAAATGATATTTTGACAGTTTAATAAATATTAAAAATTCAGTTATTGTAGAATTTTCTGAATGTTGAAATGAAAAAATGAAAAAAAGATTTTCAGAGAAATTACGTAACAGTTACGTGAAAAAGGAAAAGATATGGCAAGAAAAACGTGAAAAGATTGAAGATGAATTAGCATATTTGAGAAAACAACTTAATAAAGATGCTACAAATGATAACACAGATAGTACATTTTTTTCTTTTTCTGTGGTTTTTTCTATAAACTTAAAAATATTATCATCTATCACTTTTCATCTTTACTGAAAGGAAAATTATGGTGATAAGATTCTGATATTTGTTAGTAAAAAAAAGAAAAAGTTTCTTTCAAATACTTAAAAAAAATTCGATGAAAGTTATAAATTCAAATAATTTTCAAAATTTCATACTGTGATAGGCAAAACAATTGTTCCTGATCTCAATTCATCTATTTCTATCATACATCAATCAGCTAAAGCACCAGTAATAACAAATCATAAAAATGATGATGTCATCGATCTAAACGATCAAATTATCATTCTACAAAAAAAAGTTTAATTTCTTATTATTTATATTTTTATCACTTTTTTTTTTGTTTAATAAATTTTATAGTTTCTTTTCATTCCTTGAAAAAAATTACTTTTTCGTTTAATTATATTAAAAAAATTGATTATATTATCATTTTGAAATATTAGTTTAATGATATTTATTATGCATAATTTTTTTCTTCAGTAAAATTAAATTCTAAAAGAAGGTTTAATTTATTATGGAGAATGAGAGAGATTATTTTATAAAAGGGAGAGTCTCTCCTTTTTCTTTTTTTTTTTTTTTTTCATAATTAAATTTATTTGTTATTAGTGCTATTTATTTACTTAGAACAAAGAGCTAGCGAATGAAATATCAAGCGTGAAACGTGATAATGAAGACTTACGTATGGAACTTGCTTCATTACAGCAAAAATGGACAAAAGATAAGAATGATTTATTACATAAAGCAAAACAGGAAGAAAAGGTACTATCATTTATTTCAGGTGTTCATCAGTGATTCTTTACTGACATGCACTGCTATTCATTTCTGGTTTTATAATAATATAGCATTATTATTAAAATAATGTGAAGTGTTCTTTACTGGTATATATACATATACATAAATATGTAAATTTTAATCAATTCAATGAAAAAATAAGAAATAAAATAAATCTTTCAACTCACTTATACGTTTTAATTTACCACTATGGTGTTTTTAATAATACTTATTACTTTATTGACTTACTAACTTCTATTTCAGTATCATTATTTAATGATACTTTATTGTTTTATTGTATTACCAGATTTTATTTTACTAATTTATTGCTATTTAATACTACTTTATCGTTTTATTGACTTACCAACGTTCATTCTAATGAATTATTATTATTTAGTAGTACTTTATTATTTTACTGAATTACTAAATTCTATATGACATAAAAATATTCCCTGATATATTTGATCATATTAAGTTCAAAAAAAGTAATATATAATTTAAAAATTGGGTATTTCTATAATTGGGTGTTTTCAATATTTATTTGTTAATAATAAACATAATACCTTCTCTTTTAGTAAGCACTGTTGTAAGAAAAGTAAAATATATATATATATATATATATGTATTACAGATTCGGAATGTAGAATTTGATGCATTACAACAAAAGTTCGCAAGTCGAATGCGAATTATGGAAGATACTAATAAATCATTACATTCACAGGTGTGATTATTGCATAATTTATTCAATATTTAACAATAATAATTGAAAATTATGACATTTAAAAAAAAATTTTAAAAAATGACAGTTGAAAATAATGCTGATTAAAAACAATGATAAAAATAGGATAATTAAAAAAATATGGCAAATAAAAGGATAGCAAAAAAAAATGTATGACAATTAAAAAAGTGTAACGATTAAAAGGTATTTGAAAATTAAAAAGAACAACAATTTAAAATATGATTATAAAAAAAAAAAATTATAAGGACGATAATTGAAAAGTGTGACAATTAAAACGAATAAGAATTAGAACTATGATAACGAGTGATAATTAAAAAGTATATGTGTAGGAAAATGATAATTAGAAAATGTAGTAGTTGATAAGAATGATAAATTGAAAAAGGTGATAATTGAAATGAATGATAATTAATGCTTATCAGTTAGTGCAAGCGCGACGTGATCGCGATTATCATCGTGAAGCATTGCATACATTTGAAAGTAAGGTGTCGGAGGAACAACGTCGCAGTGAAAATGATTTGAAACAATTTAAGGAATTAGAACAACGAAATATCGATATGGTATGATATGTAATTTCGAATTTTTTCATTCTTTTATATAAAATACGTTAATTTTTGGAAAAAATTTTAAAGCTTTTTGATTTTGTTACAATTTAATCACATTTTGATGTAGCTTAATTTTAATTCAATTTTTTTAAATATAATTTATATAATTTAATTTAAAAAAGTATATTTTTAAATATATAATCTGATTTATAATTTTCTAATTTTTTTAAGAATATAAATCAATGATTTTTCTTTTTATAAGTATATGATTTAATTTTAGATAATTTAATTTTTAAAATGTAGGTAAATGTTTTTCTTTTTTGGGTTAAACAAATAAAAGATTTAAAAGAAGAAGTGATCAAATTGAATGCCGATTTGAAATTAGCAAAAGAAACACATGAAGCTGATCGTGCTCTATGGAATGTTGAAAAATCACATATTAAACCTAAAAAGATGACAAATTTAGCTGGTAATACTGTCAATGATAAACAAAATATTAAGGTTAGTGTTTAAATTTGATAAACACCTAATTAATTTAATTTAAATTAAATTTAATCAAGTAATGTTTAATTAAAAAGCACTAACTTCAATAATATAAATCAATAATGTGAAAATACTTTGCTATTGCAATAAAATTATTGAATTTCTCATTACTTCTTCACTCGTTTCACTAATTTCAATTACACTTATAGAATTCTAAAGTTTTTGCACATAAAAAATAGTAATAATTTAATATACCATTAGATTGAATAAAATTTTTAACAGGTTTTACATGTAACAATTAATTTGTGCATATAATTAATTGATTCCAGACAAGAAATATAAATCCAAATTTCTTCTTCCTATTATTTGTTTTATACTTAACGTTTTTGTTTCATTTAAATAGCAAAACACTAAAGTAATATATACTTATTTTTTTTGAAATGGCATTATGTAATGCTTTTTCCTATCATTTATTTATACAAAAAAGTGTTTTTAATCCTATGCTATATATATATATATATATATAGCATTTTCCTAAAGTATTATATTTTTTAAATTTATATTTAAATAGAAATTAAAAAAAAAATATATTATAGATGACAGAAAGTGCACTGAAAAGTGCCGAAATGGTTCAAAAGAAATATGCGGAATACCAAAATTTTTATGCAAAAGAAATGGAACGATTAAATGCAAAAATGAATGAAATTTTGAATGAAAATATTTTAAAACAACAAGAATCAGAACGAATAACAAAAAATGTATGTTCAAATTTTTTTTTTTTTTTTTTTGCATTTTATAAAATTATTTTTTATAAAAAAATTTACAAATTAGCATAATTCATTATGAAAAGAAAACTTCTTTTTTTCAAATTATGTTATAAAAAATTAGATAAAATACTAAAAATAGAAGAAACAAGAAAAAAGCTCTTTTTTTTTCAGTTACGTGAACAAATTAAAGTGTTGGAAATAAGTCAACGAAATTTGATGGAAGCACGTGATATGCAATTAGGTGCAAAAGAATTTTTAGAAAATGAAGTTGAAAAATTACAAGAATTGTTGAATTTAAATGAAGTTCATCGATTAACACGAAAGTATAAATTATCGTTAATTATTGAACAGGTGACATTTATTTGATTATTTCAATTTTACGCCACTTTTTTAAAAAAAGAGACTGAAACATTAAATATTTCAATAGTGTTATTGCTATCTAATATTATGAAATATATATTTTAAAAAATTATTAAAATTATGAACTATATCCAATTGCATATGCTAAAATTTAAATAGTGCATTAAATAATATTATTAAATACTATTTACGAAGGTATAAATTATTTCTGAAGATATTTTAGAGATATTTTATTTTCACTTTTATACTTCCGTACGTTCAATTTTTAGTTTTTGTAGCCAAATTAGTTAATATTCTTTAACTGTTTTATCATATTTTTAAATGATGAAATTTTTGATTAAATTTTAAAAATTTAGAGCAATGAAAATTCGAAGCGTTATTAATAGCATTTTCTTCCTTAGTTACTTGTTCATATTTAATTTTACTTAAAAGAGTAAAAATTATTTGAATGAATTTGTGATTTGCCATAAATATTTTCAATACTTGTAATTTATTACTTCAATTGATAATATTATCAATTATCACATTTGTAAATAAAAATATTGTAATTAAATTATAACATTAATATTTAGTTGGAAATATTAATCGATTCACCAAATAAATCATCAAATGTTGGAAAAGATATATTGAATAATTTGAAAGCTTTTGTTTCACAATTAAAACAAATGAAAGATGACGAATGCAAATCATTTCCGATCAGGTTTCCGTTTGTTTTTTTTTTCTTCCTGTCCGGTACTGTTTTATGATATGTTGATAGATGTTAACAAATATCAAATTTTAATCAAATATATGGTATATGTTCATAATTATTAAATTTTAATCAAATGTAATATTATTTTTCACAAGAACACTGCCCCTTTTTTTCTTTTTTTTAAAAAAAAAATCTTAAATTAAAAATGCATTTAATCTATTAAAGCAAAAATTATACACTCGGCTTAATTAGTCATTTTTTTTTAATTAAACGATTAGAAAGTATTGTCATCTATGCGCAGAAAAGAAGTAATTTTTTATTGTTTATAAAAAAAAAAATGTTTAATTTTTAGCAATGAGAAAAAACAAAACAAAGGTGATGAGCGATCAAAATTATTTACAAATGAATCAAACGAAGGTAATGTTGTATCATCTCAAACATTACATGATGGAACTTTGCAATCAACAATTCCAACTCGATTTTATTCATATAGTACACTTCCGACATCGTCGTATAAGTACTACTTTTTTTTTTATTTTAATTTATTACTTTTAAAAGTGTTACCTTAAATGTATTACTATTAAAAAAGTATTGCTTTTAAAGCATAACCTAAATAATATATTTGTTAATGAAAATATTGAAAAGTAATAATATGTATCATAGAGCAAACAATTATTCTTTTCACTTTATTTTAATTTAATTTAATATAATTTAATCTCTTTTTTGCTAATAACAATTATATTTAATCATTATTCACGGAGTGTACATTTCTACTATTCTGAAGGTTAAAAAGAAAGAAAAAAAATTGCTTAGCTAATTTTTATGATAATTTTAATTTTTATAGTTTCTACAGTATTAAATTTTACTAATTTTTTTTTCCATACTTTTTTTTGAAATATAAAATACAAAACTTTAGGTTAACAGCAACAGTAAAACATTTAAGCGAAAGCAATTCTGCCGTTGAAATTCGACAATTGGATGAATTTATTACTAATGGAACACAAACAACAATTAAAAAAATTTCGCCATTTCCAGATCCACCACCAACACTTATTCTTAGTAATTTTATTTTTATTAAATTCTTTTAAAAAAGAGAAAATAAAAAATTATTTTATAAGCATTCACAATTATTTCTTTATGAAAATTTTTGTTTACTTTTAGTTTTGTTCTTAAAATATTTCTAAATTGAATAAGTTTTTTTTTTTTTGAAAAATTTTACAATTCACACAAGATTTAAAGAAAAAAAAAATTATTTTAGATAAAGAAATGGCAGTAGAATATGATAAAAATGGTCGTCTTCATTACATTCCAAAAAGTATTTCACGTTCCGTTTCACGTGATCGATACGATGATAATAATTTTTCATCATGTGGTCTAAATGATTGTGAAGAAGATCCATCAGTTGAACCGTTGCATTTACGAACAAATAGCACTGGTAATACTAAAAAATAAATAAATCATACTTGTGATATTAATTTAAAAATACTTAATAATATAATAACAATTTTTATACAATTTTAATTCATTTATTTTTTTGAAGTTATTTCGTATTAATGCGATAATTTTTATTTATACTAATTATTTTTTTGCTCACAAAATAATAATATATTTAGAAATGTTAAAAATGTATATAAAAAATTTTTGATAAAAAAAAAAAACTTGTTTTTATTATTTATAAAATTACAAATTTAATAAACTTATAAGATTATGTATAAAATATCATAATTTTTTCTTATCTTAATAAAAAAAAATTTCATGAAAGACTTCTTTTTATTTGATTTATTAATTACAGGGACGAATATTTTGTATGATATTCGGCGAGTTGAATTAGCACGTGGTAGTCAACCATCGGTACGCTTAATGGCAAAAGCATTTGAAACAATGGAAGCAAATGCATCAAAAACACTTCCAAATTCAAAACGTTCATTATTTGGTATACGTAAATCACGTTCGGTTGAAACTACGGAAATAGGAAAAGGAATTGGAAATGTTACAAAAAATGTATGTAACACTTTTTTTCTGAAATTAATTTAAGATTGGAAATTTTTTTTTAAATAATTTTTTTTTAATTTTAGATGATAACATCCATAGCACCGTCACCAGTAGCGGTAACAGTACTTGGACGAAATACGTCACTTAGTCATATTGAAGAATTAATGGGTAGTCAATCACCATTTGGTAATATATCACGTGGAAGTCGTAATCCATTAAAAATTATGAGTATGTTTATTTTTTTATTTGAAAAAATTTAAAAGAAAATTTTAAATATTTCATAAAAAAAAATTTAGAAGAAAATTTTAATCAATTCATAAAAAAAGTTAGATATACATATTAGCTTCAATTATAAATGATTTAAATTATAAATAAGTTTAATTAATTACTATTCATCATTATTATTGTATTAATTAACAATTTCATTAATAATGATTGGTACTGTATGTTTATATTTGTTGATATTATATTATCGAATAATAAGTGCTAATTAATATATTTGAATTTCATTTGAAATTATTTGTAAATGTAGCAAAATTTTCAAATATATCATAAATTTTCTTTTAAGTTATTAAATCTGAAAAGTATTCAGTAATACACGATTTTTCTTATCTATTGGTATAATTAAATTTATAACAAACAAAAAAAAAAAAGAGCAAAAGAAAATCTATAATAAAAAAAAATATATATATAGGTAAATTTATAATAAAGAAATAAATTATCGGAAATTATAATTTTTTTTTTGTTTTTATTTATTTATTTTTTGTCAGAAACAAAATTGGTTGAACGTGTACGACGAAGTTTAAGTCGCTCAAATTCCAAAAAATGCCGAGATAATTCGTCAGAAAGTAGTCAAAGTATTAAACGTGACGATGAAGCTCAGCAGAAAATTGATGTACTTCAAAAAATCAACAGAACAAAGGTATTTGGCTATGTTTTTCGTCTTTTTTTTTTCTATCTTTGTTGTATATTAACAGTTAAGAAAATTTTCTTTTTTGTGTAGATTTTCTAATTTATTAAGAATTTGAATCATTAATGAAAGAAAATAAATTTTGTATTTGTTTACGATATAGTTATGATCAGTTTATATTTATTATTCCTATAAAGTTGTTTATAAGTAATTAAGTAATTATTATGTTTTATAATAATTAACAATTTTAAAAATTGATATTTTGCAACATCAAATATAACTGAATTACAATTGGTAGATTTAAGTGAATGTATGAATTTTTAATGGATCTTTAAAAAAAATCAAGTACATAGTTTTTTTTTTTTTTTTATTTGCTGGAAAATGTAATATAACTATAATTGTTTCTTTCGTTTAATTATTGCGAAACAATTTACAAGTTGATTTAAAAAATAAAAGAATAATATTTGCATATGAATTTATTCAAATTTTTTAACATTAGCTAAATTTTATAAGATTTATGCAATAAATTTAAATTATTAACAGAAATAAATAGTTTGTTTTAATCAATAATACTAATTTTGTTCTTAAAATTTTAAATTTCTCACTGTTAAATGAATATATATATAACCTGTAGGATTCTCATAAAACATCCTCGCTTACAAAAAAACCTCGGACAAAAAAGAAAGCAAAGAAGGCAACAACAACAACGGCAACAACAACAACGACAACAACACCAACAACAACAGTGACGACAACAATAAGTTAACTGAAATAGTATTGTGACCGATATCGAAAAAAAATATTTGAAATTTCACAAATAAAAAATTTTGTTTTATGTTCTAAAATTCTTATATTTTGTGTTAACTTACGTGCCAAAATATTACATCTGATTCAAAAAATTATTACCTGTTCAACTATACATTTTACACCTTAACAACCACTTTCTTTAATTCCTTTTTTTTAAAGAAAAAAAGATTTTTATGTGCTCTTTTTTGCCGTCTGATTGATATCTCATAAATTGATATGTATAGGTAAGATTTTCAAATCTATTTGTTCTTTTCCTGATAATTAGTCCTCTAAGTATTCCTAAACCATAATTTGTTATTATCATATTTAAATTTAACAATATCACATATTTAGATTTCGCTCAATTTTTATCTAAAATTCATCTAAAATTTTGAAATCTTAACTGCTAAATATTTATTTTTAGTACCAATTAATTTAGAGAAGGTAGTAATACTATTTAATTAGTACTAATTAATTTACTTCTTCCACAAAAGATAAGATTTAACATTTGTTTTTATTTTCTTCTCTTGTTTTAAAATTTTAATTTATAAATTTTTAGCTATATGTCCGATGACAATAATAATAATAGGAATGATATAATAATAATAATAATTCTTTTTGTATTGTCTCAACTTTATATGACAATAATTTATTAGATAGAAGAAAAAATTTTTTCTTTTATTGTGAAATATATTTTAGGTTAATTGTATGTTAAATTTTTTCCACGCTTTAAAAAATTAAAAAAAAACGAAAGAATTTCTTCAATAATAATTTTGAAATTTAACTTTTTGTAATTAACTTGTTAAATAACAATTTTTGCTAAGTTTTTTTTTTTTTCTTTTTAAGATCAAATTATTTTTATTAGTTATGCGCGAATTTTTCATACAGTTTACTTTGCTTAATTGCTTTTTTATCTTCTGTTATTGTTTTAATTTTATTAATTAGTTTTTTTCATTTATCTCAGTACAACTATTACTAATTGTTCATTATAAAATGTTACGAGCAATTGTTGATTCAATTTTCAATTATTTGTTAATAAATTAATTTTAATGTCAAAATTTAAATGAATTTTCTATTCTAAGTAAGAAAGAATTTTTTTAGTTGTCTGAAATGATTTCATAATTTAACTTTTCAAAATTACATCATTTATTAGTTAATGTATACTGCATCTAGTTTTGCTTCTTATTTTTCAGTGAATAGACTAATTGAATTACCTAATAATATCATTTTTTTTTTTTTTAAATAATTTTCTCTCTATTTATTCTTCTAATTATTAAAATGCTTCTTATTCGTAAAATCTCACTTTTTTTCTTTGATATGCATAATAAAGTTAACGAATAAAGAGTTTAAATGAGAAAAGAGTTAAATTTTTATTTCAATAAAATTCAGCGAAAAGAAAAGCCGCATACAGTTACAGTTTTACAAGATGCGTCGAAAGAGAGACAAGGAGAGAGAGAGGAAGAGGAAAAGAGGAAGAAAGAGAGAAATGATTCTAACAATAGTATTTAGTATGAATGATAGGAAGTAATAATTAGAAATGAAATAATTAGATGTAGTAATAAGTATTCTATTTCTACATAAAAATTCCATTATTGGATGAATTGAAGTAACAATAGGGAATGGCTATATTATCTGTGAAATTATTTTAAAAAACAGAATGAAATTATCATTTTTTTTCCCAAAGTTTTTAGAGAGATTTTTTAGAAAAAAAAAAAATGGAAATAGTAATATGAGTGGTGAAAAAATACAATGAAAAAAACAGAATCAAAAAAAAAAAAACACAAATGGCGATATAAATGATATAATCCAACGATATTATCACTTTTTTTAAAAAAAAATAAAATTATGAAAATAGTTGATGCAAAAGATATAAAAAGTTGAAATCATGATGTAAATGATGTGAAAAATACAATATTTTTTCTCAACATTCTTTAAAAAATAGAAATAATGGTAAAGATGATATAAAAAATACAATAAAGTTATCACTTTCATTCAAAAAATTCTTTAAAAAAAATAAAAATAGTGATATCAATGATATAAAGAATTGAGTAATATAAGTAATTTGAGTGATAAAAATGGAATTATCAGTATAATTCACATTCATTTATTATCTTTTTTTTTAACTGTAGTTTTTGAAATAAAACGAATTGAAAGTAACTATTTATTGTAAGCTAAAAGAAATTCAATAATATTTACTTTAAGCTAATTTTTTACAAAGTTTACGAAGCTAGTTATAATATGATGATTCTGTGATTATTATTATTATCATATCACAACAATCACAGGAGCAATTATTTAATATTCAAACAAAGTTGGAAAATGTTCACGAAAATTATGACAAATGATTATGAAAATTATGAAAAGCTATTTCCCATAAATGATATGATATCATAAATGATTAAACTACAAAAGATGTTAATTAATTAACAGTTAATTAATATATGATATAACAATATCCCTAAATTTTTAAATTCCTAAACTATAACGGTATGCTATCACCACTAATGCATTACCTTAGCTAACAATCAGCAATAACTAGAAAATTCAATTAGCAATAATACCATTTTTTTTCTGAAAAGTAGTAATGCCATTTCAATTATTACTGAAAACTTATAACTCAAATAATACCACAAATTCAAGTTAAATATCAAATATGACAGCACTGCAAATTTTCCACGAAAAAAGTTCAATGTTTACTGGCATATGAATATTATGTTAACAAATCAAATGCCACTATTTTCCGGTTCAACAGTACTTGCCAAATATGAATAAATTCTTTTCACTATCTCAATGAGACGAATGCTTTTCATAGTGGTCTGATTGGTTAGCGTCATTGTTATGTAGCGAGGCGTTGTTGCGTTGAACTTTTTACATAGGTGAGATTTGAGTTCGGTGAGGGTTCTCGCGGTGCAGTAAATTTGGGTTTTCTGTTAAATTTCCGGGATACGGATGCTTTTGGGATTCCGAGGTAAAAACTCTTTTTGGGGTTTCAAGGTACAAATGCTTTTGGAATTCCTAGATAAAGATTTATCTGGAATTCTGAGGTATAGATGCTGCCAGATTTCCAAGGTAAAGAATGTTTCTGAATTTCCTAGGTAAAGACTTCTTTGGGATTCTAAGATATAGATACTGCTAGATTTTCGGGTAAATATGCTTTTGGAATTTCGAGATATAGATGGTATTAGAATTCTGAGATTTAGATACTTCTGGGTAATTGCAAGAGCCCATAAATATCTTCTTGCTGTGAGATTTTTGAGTGAATAATGTTAAAAGCCTTTGTAATGATCTAGAAGAGTAAGTGGCTGTGCCACGGTATCCTAACAAGAATCCTGATGAGGATTATAAATTTTTAGCGTGTATTGGGCGTTTTTCTCTACCATTTGTATAATTTCATGTTGCATTTCTTAGGCTAATTGATTATTTTTAGAAAAACTAGTCAAATAATAAAAATCAGTATGGCAAAATCAAAGAATCATACAAGTCATAATCAAAGTATGTTTACATTTTTATTTGTTTGGACCTGTAGCATTCTGCTAACGATGTTTTACATCATAAAATCATTTTGTCTATTATTACTGCGCATAACGTGTAACATTTTGAACGTTTTTACATATGTTTAGTTATGAATATCGTAAGATGTTCGGTTATGAATACAGTACGGATTATTTCAGATAGAAAAGATCACAGGAATGGTATTAAGAAACCGAAGAAACATCGTTTCATGTCCATGAAAGGAGTTGACCAGAAGTTTCTGCGGAATCTTCGATTTGCTAAGAAGCATAACAAGCGTCATCAGCATCAAAAGAAGGAATCTAAAGCTTAATACAGATTAATTTTATGATTGCTTGATTGTTTTTTTGTTATATACCAGTAAATTGTTAACAGCACTGTTTGCATATTGCGTTTTACACTAGTTGTACATGACATATTACTTGTAGAACTACTTTATTTCATAGGAAACAGTTTTATTATCTCATTTATTGGACATACTGCATTGCAAGACATTTACATGTCCATTTTACATTTAAATTTACATGTTAGTGGCACTTACGGTTACCCTTGAGACTCACCCAATTTTTATTAAAATTATACAGTTGGAGTTCAGGATTTTGGTGTTTTTGTAAATATTTCCGTAAGTTGTTAGTAACTTTTATAAAGATGAATGAGGAGTGCATTATTCGAAAATTGATAGCCGATGGAGATGGTGGTGGTGATGATCGTCGTTTTGCAACCATACTTGCATTACTGTTGAAATATTTTAAGGATTTCGAATCATCACAAAGGTTATCATTTCTGTGATAGTTGTGGGGATCTTTTGTTCCTTTATATGTGTAGTTTCAGAAGATTCTTGAAAAAATCTTTGTCACAATTCTAGGAGAGTTCGAGAAGGTTAAAAGAAGTGAAATTTGACAAGATGGAAACTTACATGATCGTGATTGTGCAGTTTTTAGCATTGTACCACGTATAATGAAAATGATGGAAGCAGCAGAAACTGCTATGAAAAAGCAAGCATTGATTTCTACAATGAATGAGCAACAGATACAGGAATACATCATGCTCACAAGTCATATAGGTAGTTCTATTTAACTTTTTTTTTTTCAAAGTTTATTAAATTAACTATTAAATCAAATATCATTAGAAATACCTAATTTTGTTGCATAAAACATTTCTTAGTGAATCAGCGGAGGTTGTTTGATTATCATTTTTCATAAATGATCACTTTATCATATGATCTATTATCACACATTCTTCTATAATTCAATTGAATATACAGCAAAATCCTTTCAATTTCCATAAAGCTGGAATGATAAATGAATCATTTTACTATACTTTTCAACTTTTGCTACTAAAGATTATTCACTTCAATTTGTAATTTTCTTTTATATTCATGGAGATTGGAAATAGCATAGCTAGTTTATGCATTGTATCTCTAAATTTTCACATCTTTGTTGATTGTTCCATACACAGCAGTATATAGCAACATTTTTGATACTATTTAATATCGAAAGAAAACGATTCAGTTCGCTATTATAATTTGCTATACTCAGTAAGGATTTTTAAATTATTATAGAACAAGAACTAATAAAAGAAAATCAAGAAAAATTCGCTGCAAAAAGGGAATTAGTTGTTGCGAAAGGGCAGCGAAAAAATAAAGAAGAATATGAATTATTGGCCAAAATGATTGAAAAAGTGCCGTCTAGATCAGAAAGCACCAGGTTTTTTCTTATTACTTTCTTATAAACGAAAAATTACTTTTCACTGAGTCATTTCGCAGAAGAAATTGAGATTTTGAAAGCAATTTACAAAAATATATCAATTTCACACCAATATTATGATATAAAACTTTCTCAGAGAATTAATATGTCATATTGGTATGAAAGTTTCAGTCCCACATTTGAAGACAAAATCCTAATGCTTAATGACCACTTTGTTTTCACCATATTTTACTAAAACCATTTAGTCTTTTTATGATTTAATGCTACAAAATTAATATAAAATCATTTCATGCTGGACAGAATTTATGCATTTCATTTGTTGTAGAGCAAAATTCTGTCAATTTTTCCATATCAAATATCAGCTTCAATAATATCTCACCTCTACTATAGACTTCGATAAAAGTAGACAATGATTTAGCTTAATAGTTGAATGTTTTTTAGTGCAAGAATTTTAACGTATATAGATGATACTGTATAATGAAACATTAGGAAATTCAATAGTATTTTCAAATTTGGTCCATCCATAAATTTCTTAATGTTAACATTTGAATTTATTGAAAGCAGTTTCATTTAATACAACTAATAAATACTTCATATGTTAAAATTGAAGGAAACTAGACCTAATCAAGAAGGAACTTGAGGAACTACATGAGAAGCAACGAAATTTAGAAACAAAGGTCTGTATATCGTTAATTTTCTATTGATGAATAGAATCAAATATTAATTAATAATGACTTCAGAAATATTTTAATATTTCTAAGCTGCAAAATTCTTTCGCCACAATCTTTTCATGTTTGTTCATATAAAATTATCCTCTCTTGCTAACAATAATGAACTATAATTTTGTTGGTTGCTTCAGTTGTTTGAAAATCAAAGTTTGCGTATTTAACAATAATGTAAACACGATTATTTCATATTATATCAGAACATTAAGTAAATTTTAGCTAGCGGAACGTCGCAATCATCTTCATTCTCTCAATATCATACTAACAAACTTCTGCAAATTTTTGAAAGGTATGCTTTTAGTTTAATGCATTAGATACTTATTTACCCTTCGTCCTCTTATACCTTTTTATACTCTTTCTCCTTAGGTCTTTGTTTATTTTCTATTGAAATTTCAAATAAAAACGTGCATTTGTAATTGCAGACGAAGAGAACGGTGAAATAATGAATAATGATGATGCTGTGGACGGCACAGGGACAGATGGTAAAAAGGAGAAAGCTTAATTTGATTTCAATTTGATATTGTACCAGATAGTTCATTTGATGGCGCTTTTAGCTTAATAGTGACACTAAGAAAAAAAAAAAGTCATGCATAAATGCAACAAATGTTTCAAGAAATATATTTTGCACCAATGTGGCAATGATAAACGTTCACATAAACGAATCGGAATCAGTAACAAGTTCCTTCATTTCTCAGGAAACAAAGGCATTTGAAAATTTCATGAAGTGACTTTAATTATTTAATTGTGGTACTGACAGATTCGCGTATAAAATACTGAAAAATGTGCGCTCCTAATTTCCGCTGCAGTGAACAACATCGAGAGAAAAAAGCCAAAAAATAAAAATAAATAACCGTGAATAAGAATGATGGAATCAGCATATGGCGTCTTTTCAACTGCAGAAAATCGCTTCTTAGAAAGTCTTCACCACTCAAGAGTGGGGAAAATTGCTGGTTAGTGCTACTTTTTCACAAACATTATAAAAAATATTTCATTTGCTTGAAAATTTTTTTCACTTAATTCTTACCCAAATAATTTTTCCACCGTTATGGATGTGAAATTCTTTTCCAGCGCTAGTTGCTTCCATTACTAAGATCTTAAATTGGAAAGGTATTTCTCTCAAAGACTAGAATTTGATTTGAAACATAAACAAATGAGGTGAAATGGTGTGTTATAAAAACAAACATCACACAGAAGATAATCTACATCAGAGAACATCTCGCTGGTTTTCCCTCCGCATTGCACCGCAATTTTCGTAGCTGCCCTGTTGATTTATATTTCTGAAGAAAATTCAACTGTTTCTGATTAAGAGCGCCCCGTCGATGTCTAAAAACAGTATTTTCATCATGCTGATTAACAGTAATGCTGATGTTGAATTTTATAGAAAGACCATTCATTTTTTCCCCTGTATTCAAAAAAAAAAGTTGAAAATTGAACTGTCAATATGAATACAATTCATAACATCAAGAATGTCATGTATTGTATAAGCAAAACACTATTTTATGAAATATTTAAAAAATCACACCACAGAACCAGAAATTTTTGTCAAGTCTTCCACAAAACTAAATATCAATTTCCGAACATGTCCCATTAAAGTTCTTATACTTTATATGAAGGAGTGGCACATACCGCCTGATGAGATCAACAGCATCTTCGTATTTCATACCAGCTTCCATAAGCGCAATAGCTACAAGCACTGGAGCTCGACCCAATCCTGCTACACAGTGCACAGCAATACATTGATTTGGATATAGTTTGAAACTTTCTTTTGCTAATGATAACCATTTAGTGATCAACTGAAAATGAATACGTTCACTGAACTATAAAAAAAAAATCTTAAAAAGTTTCAAACCTATCATTAAGTTCATAAATGCAATTTAATGAAATCACTATAAAAATTAATGATGTTTCCATGCTATGAATATGATTTATCGCATACGAGTTTATTTTTATTATAATTCAATTTAAATATTTTACCCTCCCTACCCTCTTCCTCCCCCACACCAAAAAAAAAAGTATAAAGAAAACTAGAACAAAAGAAAAAAAAAATCATTCAAAAATGATTAAATTATATTCTCGAATAGAAACCTCTTCCCTTTTATTGTGAGTGAAAAGTAACCTCAGGAGGTGGTGCGCTACCATCATCGAATTCCCAGTCGAGTACATCAATACCATTTACGATTAATGGCGTTGTCGCGTACGTTGGTTCACATACTCTAACTACTGCTCGAGCATTATGCTTTTCAAGCTCCTAAATTTTGGAAATGCTATCAAAAAAAATTTCCTTCCAAAATTCTAGTAAATTCAGCTCCCTAATCCTAACTTTTTCACTTGTGCAAATGAAGTGCAAATGAAACTAGCAAATTAGAAGCACTAATTAAAAAGAAAAAATTAATCATTTTCAACTGTTCAACTTTTTTTTTCGCTCACAATTACATTACAATGATATGTTACTCTATATATATAAATAAAAACTATTTTTTTTTTTTTAAGTGATAATTATGATTTACATTACGATGCATGAATAACATGCAATTCAAACATCTTGTCTCAACTGGAATATATCTTTTCATGAACATATCGATGCTACTCAATGGTAAAAAAATATTGTATCAATGCTGCATAAAATTAAATGAAGCAGTATTGGCATAATCACTTAAATGAAGATTTTGTACTTAAAATATCTGAGAAAAAGAATAACTTCAATGTAGGTGTTGATTGTTAAATCAGATGGTCGGTCAGTGATTAAAAACCTCATTCTGCCATACTGAATTTCACTAGGCGCTGGCTTAAAATATGCTGGAGTTGGTCTCCTGGCAGTTGATGATTCCATTCTCCTTTCTCCTGCTATCATAACTTAACAATTGGTACCAAACTGCTACTACACAAAAAGTGTTGTCTCTTTCTTCTCAAACTGTAAAGATAATAATTGTAATGAATTATGATAAACAATTAGTGAGGAATAAAAGAAACCGAAATGTAAGAATAAGAATTGTGACCGGAGTTGACGATTTGATAACATACAGTTTTATGTGATGAAATATAATCGAAAAAGTAAATTAAAATAAGGAGCGGTTTAGAACTATATATTCTTTCCTTGATTTTCTTCTTTTGTTTTTTTTGTTTTTCTAAAAGGAGAAAATCTCTGATTTATCTCATTTTGCTTCCTTTAATAATAATAATGCACCTTATTTTCGTTTCCACACACAGTTACCGAGTAAATGACTCCACCAGTAAATATACCTGAAAATAAAGCTGCACAGAACTGATAGGCTTAATGTCCACTTTCTTCCAGAGAAATAACATGTTCAATAGCAACGTCAACGAATTCACCATAAGAAAATGCATCTGAATGAGACTGCATTACCTGATGATAGCTGCAAAGACTATAAAATTATATATATATATATATATATATATATATAAAATTTTTGACATCATTGATATCTGAAATTTATGAGTTCTATAGCACAATCATTTTATAACTATTACATTAATGATATAATGTTTCTTAAGAAAAATTAATTCATAAAAAAAAAAGACTTTTGCGAATTAATTTTTAAATTCAGGAAAAGTTAAACTATCAAATACTAATTTCAATGTTTAATTTGGAAATTCTATATTTGCAAATTAACGAAAAAGTATCATAATGCAAATGTATATGTGATTTGTCAATTACAAAATAATAATATTATGAACAAGAATAAGAAAAAAAATCCATTACCAAAAGAAATCTCAAAAAAAAAAAAAAAAACAAAAGAATATCCAATATTTTCTTTCTTAGGATAGAAAAAGGAAAAAAAAAGTCTACAAAATAATGGTAGTAAATATTATACAAAATTAAATGCGTTGCGTAGCGTGACATGACGTGGCGTAACAATGAAATAATTCACATCCTGTATCACTGAACTTTTTTTTACATTTATGGAAAAATTTGTAAACGGCAGAGTACCTGCTAAATTCATCATCATTCAAATACTAAAAGTTACTCATGTGCTCATGTGAAAAATTTGAACTACGACAATAATATTAGAGGAAAAAGATATATATATATATATATATATACATACATACACACATATACATATATCATTACTGGTTAACGACGCTAAATTATCTCGGCAACACGCGACAAATCATTCCCCTCTATTGCTGTAATACTACAATATACTACAGCAGTACCATTTTTATATGCTATCAATGAAAGGAAAAGAGAGAGAGATGGAGAGGGAGAGAGAGAGGGAAAGAAGTGATAAAAATCATTAAAGATGAGGAAAGGATAAAAGAGAGAAAAAGAACGGATATTTAATTAATGTTTTGACCTTGATAGCAACATAAAACATGTAATCTTTAAGATTTATATTTTCTTCCTCGTCAACTGGTCATTTATTTGAAATGAAATAGCAAACTGTGAATGTAATATCAGTAATGACTATTCAAAAATATCAATTCCTCATAATGTTAATTGTTCCATAATGAAGCATTCAATCTGAATCTTCACACTTCATTAAGTCATACTTGCTAATGTAACTTTGAATCATTCATTTGCATCTCGCAGTTAAAAAAAATGAAAAATGTAATTAGCATAGATGACACCATAAATATGACATCTATATGAGTAATAAGTCATTAATGTTGTTATAAATGTAATTACATCAAGTTAATGTAATGTAACAGCATCAATCTTATAAAGTTTAAATATGAAAGAATTGAGACACAACAGGGGTTATTTTTGACAGTTTTAAGCAATCCAAACTTTACATATTCATCTCTTCATAATTAAACAGCTCATGCTTTCACTTTGATAATGGTACTATAATGGTATTACTATTCATACAATGGTAATTTTTTTCCCTTCTTTTTTATAAATAAATTTAACAGCACAGACGTTTAATTTAATGTTTGAAATATTTCGAAGATTCTTTAATGTAACGATTGCTCAATTAATTAAACAAGTAAAGTTGCATTTGAAAAGATCGTTGTTTATGTCAAACAGCTGCCCACCCCTTTCACTCCTCTTCCCTTCCCACCTTCACAGCAGATATTTTTGCGCTTATTAATGTCCGTTATCTAAAATTCGGCTCAATTGAAATGTCTAAAGTTGTCCTACAAGTAGAGATTAGTTTTTGGATGACATGAAGTAAATTCCAAGTGAATTGAGGAGAGGAAAAGAAAAGAAATTAAATAATTTCGAAGTATTTGAAGACAAAAGAATTGATGAAACAAACAGTGCTCTCCCTTTCCCATCAAATTTGGGCTAAAGTCTCCGCATTTCCGCTTACAGAATGAGAACTAAATATTGATTAGGTCGATGAACACTTCTAACCTGCATAATATCTCATGTATATGGACAAAAAGACAATGATGATTGTCTCATAAAATGAATGTCCTATGGTCTTTATTCATTATCATGAAGAAAGTAAATAATACAGAGTTCAGTTTAGGTACTATTAACTAAATAAATGATGAACAATTGTAGTAGTAAAGGGAAAAAAGGAAAAGCTC